ACGCTCTGCAGGGAGATGTGCGCTTGCAGCCCAGTGGGGCTCTGCGAGGCGGGGGTTCCAGAAGCGCTGGGCCCGCAAGACTCGCTGACCAGAGCTCGGGAGTGGCCTCAGGGCCGGAGGGCTTGTGGCCTCTCACAGTGGCCCCGGGGGTGGCGACTGGCCCCCAGGGTGGCGTGAAAGCAGCGCTCCCGTCTCAGAACGACCGAGTCCAACACTGACCCCCAACATGGCCGTGGAAACGAAAGCGAGCATGCAGTGACCCCGTTCCTTAAAAAGTCAGACCCGCTGCCGGGCAGCTGGCCCTCCCGCTCCTGGACATTCCCCGGAGAAAGGAAATGTCTGTCCTTGCGGAGACTTTCACATGGATGTAAATAGCAGCTTTATTTTTAACCATCAAAAACTGGAAAGAACCCAAGCGACCATCAGCAGATGAGCGGGTGACGCGAGCGGGGTCCGGTCTCTGGGGGCCAGTCAGGAGCATGGGCAGGCGAGGGGCCCCACGGCAGGGCAGCGGGAGAGACCCTCCCCCCAGCCTGGGACGGGTCCCACCTGCGCCCGCACCGGGGGCGGCGGCCCCCCAGGTGTCTCTGGTGCCGGGGCCGCCGAGCCGCACGGGCCCGTGGCCCCTGTCGCACGATGGGGCTGTTCTGAAAACATTAAACGGAGAATGACAACCTGGGGAAACATCTTGAGTCCAGTGGACAATGGGGAGAATAATTAGGGCACAGACGCCTGGAAATCATGAGCACCTCAGGGGCTGGTTCCTGCCCTGGGGGGCCTGGGCCACACCAGCTGCCCCAGGCTGGAGCCCCCTCCCGAGGCCGGCGCGGCCCTGAGGCCTCCCTCCTGGGTGCTGTTGTGCGGGGGACGCCTGGGCTCTGTTCGGGTCCAGCCTTCAGCCAGCCCCAGGGGGGCGAGGGGGAGGCCCCCCACGTGCGGGCCCAGGCCGGGAGTGAGGCCGGGAGCACCCTCCGCGGCGGTGGGCTGCGGCTGGCTCCGGCCCCGGCCCCGGCCCCCTAGGGCAGAGCAAGGCTCCTCCCGGGCCTCCGGGGCCTCCGCTTGAAGCAGCCTGCTGGGCAGAGTGGGGTGTCGTGAATCTGGGGTGTCTGACTCAAGCACCGCAGCGGGTAGAGCCTGTGTCCTCCCGCGAGCCCATGGCCGGCCTGTGCCTGCCGCGACCCAGCGCCCCCGGGGGCCGCCTCTTCCCTTGCTGGGCTCTGGGACGACCCTCTCCACGCACGGCCGCGTCCTGGCGCGGGGCTGGGGCTGGGAGACGCCCTCGCCTGCCCACCCCAACCACGGGCACGGGGACCCTGGGGCTAGGGAAGGAGCCCCTCGGCGCCCTGCAGGGCCTCACTCCCACGCACACCCTGTGCCCTGGGAGCCCGGCGGCCCCTGCCCCCGCCGGCCGGATGCGGCCTGCATGCCTTCCCACGCTGGCAGCGCACGTCACAGGCCTGCTGCTCCCTTTGGACTCATCTGGTGGGATTTATGGTATCTCGTGAGCTCTGCTCGGCGGACATGCCGTCTTTGAAGCCCCGGGCCGGGGGCCTGCGTTCCTGCACGGCCACATCTGCCGCCAGCTGCCGCGGCGCGATAAGGAGGCTGCTGGGGGCCGGCTGGTTCCGTGTTGCTTGAAGACGGAAAACCAGCTGAGCAGCGATTCCTTCAATCCCACTTTTCAGTTTATCCTTTTAATCCGCGCTCCCACGCTGACCCCCGGGCCTCAGGACGTCTGCTCGCTTTCTTCCCGCAGGACAGGGGATTTAGCTGAGTCCCCAGACGTCAGATCGCTTTGTGGACAGGACCCCGGGGTTGTGCTTGCTGACAGCGCAGCTAGCCGTGGGGTCACCGAGGGGCCCAGTGCCCCCCGCCCAGCCCCACAACGTGAGCCCCGGCTCGGCACGAACATTCCGTCCTGGAAGCAGTAGATAGGCCGGGGCCTGCGTGGCCGCCAGCACGACTCGGGCAGCGCGAGCCCCAGGCCATGGCCCCCACCCCCAGCGCCCCGAGCCCATCTCTCCCTGGGTTTCCCGCCACCTCGCTGGCCGGCCAGGGGAGAGTCCCTTGCGGGGCCGAGGTGGGAAAGAAGCCACCACGTTTCCCAGCAGCACAGACCTCCTGTTGCCATCCCCAGCCACACGGCTGACCCTCCCCAGGCCCGTGGCCGCAGCGTCCAAGTGACCGCAGCGCCCGTGTGGCCACAGCGCCCGGTGGCCTCAGCACCCAGTGGCCGCAGCACCCGGTGGCCGGCCGCCTTGGAGGGTGTCTCGGGCACAACTGAGCTCCCTGCACTGGGCTTGGGGTAGATCCCTTCATTCTGAGGTGGAAGGCTTTCCAACAAAGTCGGGGTGTCCACCTGCTAGGGGCTGCAGCCAGCCAGACTCTGCTCCATCCTTGGGGGGGGAGGTCCTCTACAAGAGGTAAGGCCAGCAGGACCCCTCCGGGCACAGACACTTAGAGCCACTCGGCGCAGCTGACTCTCCAAGCTCCCACACTCCATCCTCCCACTCACCAGGAGTCAGGGTTGGGGGCCAGCCCCGGTGACCATGCAAGTCTCTGCAGTCAGGCCCAGGGCAGGGCCGCAGCTGGGTGTTAGCCCCGAGTGAGACTGTCCAGTCCATCCTGAGTGAGGTCTGGGGTTCTCTCCAAGGTCACCGCAGGGGCCCCTAGGCAGCCGGTGCCCCCCACATCCCCCTCCCTCCAGGCTTCCCTATCAGTCTTAGCTGAGTGTGGGGAGTCCGCCCTGCTCCCATCAGGGTGCCTGGAGCGGTCCCTCCACCGGGCTTGGGCCAGCCTCTGTGCAGGGCGTCGGGTGACCTCAAATCCAGAGGTGGGGCCGCGCAGGGGGTCTGTCTGCCAAGGGGGGACTGAGGAGGACGTGGCCAGAGTGCGGTTCTGCAGACACTGGTCTTCGGTATCCACGGCAGGGAGGCTGTGGCCCTGTCCCGGCGAGAGCCAGGCAGCCTGGCGTGGGGGCAGCCTACGTCCCTGCTGCTCTCAGTCCGAGGAGTGCTGGGAGGCGTCGGGCCTGCGGCCACTCAGGCCTGGATTTGGTGGCTCGTCTTCGAGAGTGGCTCGTCCGACCCTCTTCCTGTGCCCTCGCGCAGGCCCCCGGACACACCCAGGCTCGGGAGTAAGGTGGTATTGTCCCCCCAGGTCTGGGTGAGCCCCAAGGGCAGCCCGGCACATGTGGAAAGGGGAGTGGGTGACCGGCCACTCCAGGGCACACGTGTGAGGGAGTCTGGGGTGCGGCAGCGGCGCCCTGCGGCAGGCCCCGGAGCCACCTGGCCCGGAGTGGGCTGCAGCGGCCATGAGCAGGTGAGGGAGTACCTGTGCACTAAGCCTGAAGCTCAGCTCTGAGGCCTGGAGTGGGCAGGCCAAGGGACAAGGCCTGGGCAAGTAGGGTACACGGTGGGCACAGCCACCTGACCCTGCCTCAGAGGAGAGGACAGGTGACCGGAACCTGCCAACGCCACCCCGGGGGGCACTCCCCTCCCCCGCCAGCCCCCTAGCGGCCTTTGTCTTGAGCTGAGGAAGTTGCCTAAGGGGGTGTCTTGGGCCATTTCCGGGGTGACTGCATCTTCCTGGTTCTCTCACGGCCACACGGGTGACATCTTACTAAACTTCTGTTGGTTTTCCTGCTGCTGGTTAACCAACAGGCCCAGGGCACCCACTGTTTACACGTAGGCCCCAGGTGTCCACTGCATACACTCAGGCCCAGGACGCCCACTGCATACACTCAGGCCCAGGGCGCCCACTCTATACACGCAGGCCCAGGACACCCACTGCATACACTCAGGCCCAGGACGCCCACTGCATACACTCAGGCCCAGGGCGCCCACTGCATACACTCAGGCCCAGGGCGCCCACTGCATACACTCGGCCCTAGGTGTCCACTGTATACACTCAGGCCCCAGGTGTCCAATATATACACGCAGGCCCAGGATGCCTACTCTATACATGCAGGTCCCAGGTGTTCACTGTATACACGCAGGCCCCAGGTGTCCACTGCATACACTCAGGCCCAGGGCGCCCACTCTATACACTCAGGCCCAGCGCCCACTGTATGCACTCGGCCCCAGATGTCCACTGCATACACTCAGGCCCAGGGCGCCCACTCTATACACTCAGGCCCCAGGTGTCCACTGCATACACTCAGGCCCAGGGCGCCCACTCTATACACTCAGGCCCCAGGTGTCCACTGTATACACTCAGGCCCCAGGTGTCCAATATATACACGCAGGCCCAGGACGCCCACTCTATACACTCAGGCCCAGGGCGCCCACTGCATACGCGCAGGCCCCAGGTGCCCACTGTATACGCGCAGGCCTGGGGCCCGTGAGGCACACAGAGGACGACTCCTTCCAGCTTCCTGTGCTCTGGGTGGTCCCCCCAAAGGCTGCGCAGGGCTCCCGGGAGCTGCTGCAGAGGAGGGAAGGTGGGGGGGCGCTCGAGCTGGTCCCCTCCCCCCACCTTGCCTGTCCCCATCTTCAGCCCCTTGGCCATCCCCCTCTGCCCCACCCTGCTGCCCTTCAGGGCTCCCTACCCTGGACAAAGCCCAGGTCCCCACGCTGCCTCCCGGGGCTCATGCCCCTGCACCCCGGCCTACCCAGGTCAGCTCCCAGTCCCGGGGCCTGGGGGGGGCGGGGTGGGGAAGGCGGGGGAGGGGGAGTCGGGGGTGGGGGGGGCTGGCCGACAACGGCCACCCAGAGAGGGGCAAAGTCCGGGGGGCCTGCCCGGCGCTGCGGGTCAGAGGCTGGGGGCGGGCGCCGGGAGGAGAGGGGCCTCCCGGCCGGGGCGGGGGCTCCCCTCCCGCCCCCCAGGGCCCAGCGCTGGGCAGCGGGACGGCCCTGGCGCCTGGGGGCGCGGGGGGGCGCGGGAGCACGGGGGGCGGGGGTCCCGGGCGGGGCGCAGGTGCGGCGCCAGGTGCGGCCAGGTGCGCGCGGCCTCCCGGAAGCGAGGGGGCGCTGTGCGGGCGCGGCGCCGGGCGCCCCTCCTTCCGCCGGGCCCGGAAGCGCGGCGATGGCGCGGAACGTGCTGTGAGCGGCGGGCCCGGCGGGGGGCCCGGGCGGGGGGGCGCGGGCGCGGGGGAGGGGCGCGGGCGCGGGGGAGGGGCGCGGGGCCGGAGCCGCGGGGGGGGGCGCGGGGACCCGGCCCCCCTCGGCCTCCGGCGCCCCCCGCGGAGTCGCGGCTCCGCCCGCGCGGGCGCTCGGGGATGGGGGGGGCCCCGGGGGCGTCCCGGGGGGCCTCGCGGGGCGCGCGGGGCCCGGGCGAGGCCTGCGGGGCCGCCGTGGCGCCCCCCCCAGCCTGGAGCCGGGCCTGGGGCGGCCGGGCCTGGGGCCCCGCGCAGCCCGAGCCCGCAGCGTCTCGCGCCGCCCTGGGCCGCCCGCGGCCACCAGGCTGGCCCGCTGCCCCGAGGCTCTGCGGTCCCCTTGTCGCCGCGCCGCCCGCGGGCCGTGGCCCTCAGCCCGCAGGCCCCTGCCGCCCGGCCGGGCCTGCTGTCTACACCCGCCTCCCAGCCCCAGCAGCCCCAGGCCGGCCACCCGAGCTGCACGCGGGTCAGCAGGCCCTGGGGTTCCGGCCGAGCCCCTGCACCCCCTCCCGAGACCTGCCCCCCCCAGTGGCATGGGCTGGTGACTTCCGGTCAGAGCAGGTCTGAGCCCGGCCAACCCCCTGCAGCTGTCTCTGCCCACTCTGGGTGTCTGCAAGGTGGGGGGGCCAACTTGTGGGCACCCGGGAACCCCAGCTCTCCCCTGCACACCCTCTGCACTCTTCACCCCGTGCCAGGCTGGGCTCAGCCCTCCGGACCAGCCGCCCGTGTCAGGGGCTGGGGCTGGCGGGCGCAGCCAGGGGAGGGCCTGCCCGGCTGAGGCCAGCACAGGCCGCGGGCCTGGGGTCCTCCCTTGGACAGAGGCCTGTGCGGAGGGGCGGGTGGGGGTGCCCCATGCCCCCCCCCCAGACAGGCCCTCCCCGGTCGGCCGGCTGCGGAGGGGCCAGCTGTGTGACATGGATCCCCCGCAGGTACCCCCTGTACCAGCTGGGCAACCCCCAGCTCCGTGTCTTCCGCACCAACTTCTTCGTCCGGCTGGTGCGGCCGGGCACGGCCCAGCCCGAGGACACTGTGCAGTTCCGGATCCCCATGGAGTGAGCCCCGCAGGGTCGGGGCTGGGTGCGGGGCGGGGAGCCCCAGGAGCCCGCAGAGCTGGGCCTGCCCCTCGCCAGCGCCGGGGGCTGCTCTGGGGTCCCTGGGCCGCTGCCGCTGCCCAGCCGGTCACACGAGCCTCTGCCCATGCCCCCAGGATGACCAGGGTGGACCTCAGGAACTACCTGGAGCGCATTTACGATGTGCCTGTGGCCGCCGTGCGGACGAGGGTGCAGCACGGTGGGTGTGGGGGGCGGGCGGCCCGTGGGGTCCAGCAGGCTGTGCCCGGCCGCGCCCAGTGCTGAGGCCTTGCTCTGGCGCCCGGGGGCCCAGCTGGGTGGGGAGGAGCAGGGTGGGCCTGCGGGGCCCCCGGGCTGGCTGGCCAGGCCCTGGCCCCCCTTGATGCCTCTTTCCCGCAAGGGCCCCCCCGCCCCCGCAGGGCTGAGCTCCGGGGGCCGCTCTGCTTTCCCCGCAGGCTCCCACAGGAAGCGCGACCACAGGAACAGCCGCGTGAAGAGGCCCGACTACAAGGTGGCCTACGTGCAGCTGGTGAGCAGGGGGGCCCCCCTCTGGCCTTGGCCCGGCTGGGGGCTCCGGAGGGGTCCGGCGCCCCCAGAGCGCTCACAGGCGGCAAGCACCCCGCCCCAGCTCTCGGGAAGGCGGTCCCGAGCCCCCTTTCTGGGCTCCTGCCGCCCCGGTGACCCCTGACACGCCCTTGCAAAGGCGCCCCGGCGCAGAGCCCCTCGCCGGCCCGGGGCCTCGCCCCTGGAACCCTCGGGAAGTCGGGGAGCCGCGCCCGGCCGCCCGCGCCGGCGGCCACTAGATGGCGGGCGCGCGCTGCGGGGCGCGGGGCCTGGCGGGCGGCCTGGCGTCCCGGGCGGCCCAGGTGGGCGCGCGGCCGTGGGCCTCATAAAGGAGCCTTGTCCTGGCCTCGCCGGGCGCCCGTCCGCGCCAGGGGCGCAGGGCCGGCCCCACACCGCGCCCGGCCGCGGCTCCGCTTACAAGGGGCTCTTGAGGCGCCCGCGCCCCCAGCCCCGGCCCCCGCGGCTGCGCTGGGCACCCCGCCTGCCCCCCGGCCGGAGCCGGCGTCCCGGGGGGCCGCTGGGGTCACCCCACCCGCCGCGGCGGGCTGCTGGGGCCCCGGGTCCCCGCGGGGCGCGGGCAGTGGAGGGGCCCGCCGGCCCCTGCCCCGGGCTTCCCTGCCTGCGGCCCTCGCCTCCACCTCGGGCGAGCCCCAGAGGCTCCCAGGGCTCCCCGGTGTCCCCCAGCTGCTGCGAAAGGCCCTCTCGTCCATGTTTGAAGCACCACTGCGTCCTCCTGGCGGGCCCGGCCGGCGGTCAGCGCGCCGCGACCCCCGGGCGGCCCGGACCCCGCTCCACGCCAGGCCGGCCTCGGTGTCCACGCGCAGCCGGCCGCGGCCCCCCAGGAGCCCCGGGCCTCGCCCCAGCCCCTCCCGCAGCCTCGCCGAGTCCAGCAAGTGGCCACGGCAGCTCGGCCACTCGGGGCCCGGGGCGGGCGGGGGGCGCGCGGGGGGCGCGCGGGGAGTCGGGGCGCCCAGCTCGTGTCTCCCGCAGGCGCACGGCCGGACCTTCGCCTTCCCGGACCTGTTCCCCGGCCCGGCGGGCGGCGCGGAGGACGAGGCCGCGCGGGCCGGGCTGCTGGAGGAGCAGCGGCGGCGCGAGGGCCGCGACCCCCGGCGGGGCGGGGTCCCCTCCTGGTTCGGCCTGTGACCCGCGTCCAATAAAGGCCCGTGCGGACCCCGGCTCGCCCGTCCGTCCCTGCCGCGCCGGCCTGGGGGGGGGCGCGGGCTGGACACGCCGCGGGCTGCCCCGGGGTGGGCGGGCGCGTGGCCGCTGCGGGGCCTGGCCGTGGGTGACCGAGGGCCGTAACTTGGGGTTTCGGGCCCCCGGCCTGCACCCCCACTCCGCGCTCGGGCCTCGGGGGCACTGGGCCCGGACCCCCCCTCCCGCGCCGCCCGCAGCCTTCACGGAGGGGCCCAGCCGGCCGGCGAGGCCCCTCTCCCCCGCGGGGTCTGCAGGGGAAGCAGAAGTGGGGCGCCCCGCCCCCGCCCCGCGGCAGCCGGCGGGCCCCTCGCAGCCCCTCCCCGCGGCCGGCAGCGCCGCATGATTTAGTGGCGAGGCCGGAAGCCCGCGGAGCCGCCGTGTTTTCCTTAGAGAAATAATTCATGGGGCCCTGCAGCCCCGGACCCCAACCCGCGGGAGGGGGTGCGCCCCGCCCCGCTGCAGCGCCGCCCGCCCCGCCAGCGGCGCCCCCAGGTGTGGCCCCAGCCTCGGGCTGCGGCGGGGGGCGGGGCGGGAGGCGCTGGGGTGGGGGCGGCGTCCGGGACCCCAGAAAGGGGCCTGCCCCCTCCCCACCCGGGGCGCCGCGCTGCGGAGAAGCTGGGGGCCCCCTCCCCACCTGGGCCGCGGGCTTGGAGCGGCCCAGGGCGCGGACGGAGCCGCCCCTTCTCCCTGGACTGGGGGGGAGCGTTGACAGGGCTCCCCTGTCCTTGGGGGTGCTGGGGGTGTCGATACCAGGCCCCCTCCCTGGCGGGGAGCTGCTCCCTGTGGGGGGAAGGGGCAGGCGCGTGGCTCCCAGCAGCCAGTGCAGGGTCCTGCTTTGGGGGCGCATGGGGAGGCGGGCGCAGGCGCCCTGCTGCCTCCTGGCCACAGCAGACTGGCACTGGGGTTCCCTGGGACCCCGGCCCCTAGCAGCTCCCGGCACGGCCCAACCCCGGGGCTGTGGGCCGAGCAGAAACCCCAGTGACAGGCCCGGGGCCTCTCCTCCCCGCAAGGCCAGCGCTGCATGACCCCTGCCCTGGTGGCCACCCCAGCCGCCTGCCCACGTGGCGCCCCTAGCCTGCAGCGGTCACCCACCAGTCAGGCTCCACCTCCTGGACTCTGCCCCCACCGAGGACCCCCAGAGGCTGCCCAGGAACTCAGCATCCCCCGCCCCCAGGCCTTGCAACAGCACTTAGGAGACCAGCCCCCCACCCCACCCCCCAGTGACCCTGGCCAGCTGCGCTCCTGCCTCCCGACCACGTGTCTGATTCCAGGGTCTGCTGAGGAGCCAGCTAGCTGGTCACCAGCGCCCCCGGGGTCAGGCCAAGAGGCCAAGGCTGGCCCTGGGGTGGGGCTGAGTGCGTGCCTGGATGGGGGCCCTCACAGGTGCTGTCCTTCCCAGTGGGTTCTCGGGGGTGCCACAGACCACGGAGGGAGGCCACGGCCTGGCCCCCTCCCCTCCCCCTCCACTCCCTCTCCCCACCTCCCCGGCCCCCTAGACACAGCACCGGGAGGCTCTTTCTGTTTCTTAGCAGCTTTATTGGGGTCACATCCCCCTTTGAGTTACCCCCTGCCCTGGTGCCATGGCCTGGATGGGCCCATCAGCCCCGGGCGGCCTGGCAGCCGGGCGTGTGGAGGCACCAGCCCCAGCCCCGCGGCCCCCTGGGGAGCCCCTGCAAGGCCAGGCGGCGGCACACTGTGCCCGGTCCCGTAGCATCCAGGGGGCCAGGGCAGGACCCCCCTCGGCCGCGAGCACCAAGGGTGCCCCTCCGTCCTGCCCCGGGACCCCAGGACGGAGGCCTCGTGGACATCCGGGAGCCTCTTGGGGGCCCCCGCCTGGCGTGGTCTGGGGGCTGCCCGCCAAGGCCTACCCCCTCAGCTGAGATCAGCCCCGGCCCCAATCCCCCAATCGCTTCATTATTTCTGTCGGTCGGGCTTTTCCCGGTCAGAGTAACCAGCGTTTCTTGGTTGCTCCCACATCTGGCTTTGATTGGCCCCGATGCTGGAGCCTGACGTGATGGGGTGCGGGGCTCTGCCTCCCCCCACGGGCGGCTGGCTGGGGAGGGGGGCCCAGCCCTCCCCACTCATCTGCGTCCCAGCCCAGGCCTGGCCTCCGGGTGCTGCTGCCTTCCCAGAGCCGCCGGGAGGCCCCGGCTGCATTCCCCGCTGCTCCCACCCGCAAGGCCCAGAGGCCCACACGCCCCTCCCTGGGGTCCCTCTCGGGGCAGAGCGGCACCTCCTCCTCCCTCCCCCACTGCCCCGGTGGAGAGGGGGCTCCGCACACCTCGGGGCCCTCTGCCCGGTGCTCAGGGATGTCCCTCGTGCCTGGAGACTGTGTGAGGGTCCCCGCTTGAGCCCCGCTCCTTCCAGAAGCTTGGTGGAGGCTGGGCAGGCCGCTGGCCGCTGGCCCAGCTGGGCCCTCACCCTGGCTCTTGCTCCCATCGGTGCAGACGTGGGGAACCCCAGAGCCTCTGCACAGCCCTCTGGGCTCCCTGAGGCCCGGGCTCCGCAAGCAGAAGGCAACCCCATTGGTGCCTCGTCCCTTTAGCCCCACCGCTGCACCCGGGGTCCCCAGCCAGGGTTCCGGCTGGCCAGCGGGGCCGGTGCTGGTAGTGGATGTGGCACCCTGACGTCACAGGGCCCCAGTGCTCACAGTGCCCCTGAGGCTGACCAGCGAGGGCCTGTGCCTGCCCCCAGCAGCTCTCCTGGGGCGAGGGTCCAGGCCTGTCCACCCTCTCTGGTGTCCGCTTGGGTGGGGTGAGGCTGCCCAGGGATTCCCTGAGACAGTAGCCTGGCCCTGAGTGGCTGCGGGGCTGACCAGCCAGACGCTGTGTGGCCAGCTTCGTGGCGGAGGGCACGCGGGTGGGGGCCTGCACCCCTGTGCCCACAGCTCTTGGGAGGGGTGGCTTGAAAAGCCCCAGAGGCGGCCCAGAGGCCCCTCTCAGCCCGCCCTGCCTGCGGGGGAGGCGCTCCCAGGAGCCTCTGCGGCGGCCGGGGCAGGCAGGCGCCTTAAGCAGAACCAGGTGTGGGCCTCCCGCTCCCTGACACGGTGGTGGGGTCTTGGGGCGCACACACGGTGCCTGCGGGTTCTGTGGGGCTTCACGCCCGGGCCCTGAACCGTCTCGTCCAAGTCCCGTCAGTCCCAAGTCTGTGCCGTCAGATCTGCAGCCCTACTAGGCCCAGGCCTGCTGCCGCGGTCTGGCCCCACGGGGCTGTGACTTGCCTGTGTGCGTGTGTGTGCGCGCGCACGGTGTGTGTGTGGTGTGCGCCTGTACGCATGTGCCGTGTGTGTGCGCATGGGTGCGTGTGCTTGTGCACGTATGTGTGTGCACGTGTGTGTGCCTGCAGCTCCGGGTGGGTAGGGTGCTGGGCTGCCCCTGACGCCCAGGGCTCTGCTGGGTCCCTGCCTGAGCCCGTCCCCCACGCGCCCAGCACTGGCGGGAGTCAAAGGCGGGGCCCATGCCAGGGGCAGGCGTGGGGCAGGGGTGGCCAGAGCACAGGGCTGCTCCACACTGAGCCCCAGCCGAGCCCCGTCTCCGCTGTGGGGCTTTCTCAGCAGGCCCAGGGAGCACAGGCGGGGCCGCCTCTCCAACCTCCAGCCCAGTGTGCCCGGTGGCCCCAGGATGGCCTGACCCCCACGTCCACCCTGAACACTGTGGAGAACGTCCTCCTGGCCCTTGGGGGTGAAAGCCTGGCCAGGGGCTGGTCGCTGGGGCCCGAGCAAGCCCACACTCACCACTGGAGGCTCAGGCCACGGGCACCGGCCAGTTGGCCTCCTGCCCAAGCCGCATCAGCTGCGCCCGCTTGTGGCTGGTCAGGGGCAGTGGCCCACGGGGCTCTGCCTTCTGGCCCCGAGGCCACTCGGGGGGTCCTGCAAGGCGGGAGGGTTTGCCACGTGGACCTCGGGCAGGGGGCCCATCGGAGGGCTCGGCGCCAGGAGGGGGCCAGGGGCACGTGTCCCCCCCTCAGCTCCTAATTGCCCTGGCAGGACCTTGGATGAGCCGTGGGAGCCCCAGAGGGCTTGCGGGGGCTTCCCCCAGCACAGGGGGCCTGGCTGAGGCCGAGGGGCAGGAGTCCTGTGTCCACCCTGCTGGGGCGCGGGGTGCTGACTGTGTTCCTGCGGCGGTGCTCTCAGTAGTTTGCGACATGGCGTGGGCACTGGCCAGGCTGTGGGCAGCACCCATGGGCCCGCAGCCCAGCCCGGGCCCCGCGCCCTCTCTCCTCCAGGGGCGTCCAGGCAGGCCAGCCTGGCCTGTCCCCGTGGCTGCCTGTGGCCCTGCCCTGCCGTGTCCCGGCCACTCCCGGTTGGGTGAGCTCCCTCCCACGGCCACGGTGGGGCAGCGTGTGGCCAGTCAGGGAATCCTGGCCACAGCCACGCGGGAGGGCCAGGGTACCCGCCGGTGTGGGCCCGCGGGGTCAGGAGGGGTGCAGGAACGATGCCCGAGCTCAGGCTGCCCACGTCCTCGGCCCACCTGCCCCATGTGTTGACCACCAGCCGGGGCACCGGCGAGGCGGGGCTGGGAGTGTGGGCCAAGCCTGTCCCCGGGGTCCCTGGCCCTACCCACTGCCCTCCGTGGCCTTGGGGTGCGCCTGCCCGGTGTTCTCCCTGTTCAAGTGGACAACGCCTCCCATTCTTTCCTAAGCCCTGGCCCCGGCCCCCAGGAGCCCCCGCGGGGCTGGGGTGGGTTCATCACGGTCAGCTGGGGTGCCCGGGGCGCCTGGGGCTGCGGGTAGGAGGTGTGTGCGGGAAGGGGCGCGGGGCTGTGAGGTGCAGGTGCGCCCGCTCAGAACCCCAGGACCCGGGGCCGGGCCCCCTGGTCTGCCTGGGCCCAGGGTGCCGGGTACGTGACCAGGCTGAACTTGTCTCTGTGTCCCACATTCTAGAAGGTACCTCCTAAAAATAAAAACCAGGCCCGTCCTCAAGGCGGCCGGAGGGATTAGGACCAGCTGCTGTCCCGCCCGCCCCGCCTGTCCTC